AAAGGCGACAAAGAAAAAATCACCATTGAAAGCCTGAAAAAGGGACAGAAGAAAGACAATAACTTGAAGGTTGTTCGAGAATGGCTCAAAAATAAATTTACACCTACTTGGCAAGTGATAACCATATAGTGGAGATATTAAAGGGTACTGGATTCCCTGTATCTTCACGGTGACTTATTGCACCGGAAGTGGGAAAGCCCTGATGGAGTACATGTAGACCGCCAAGTGGTATTGCCGAAATCCCATGTCAGAAGTGTGTTGTAGCCGTTCGGGAGGACATTTTGGTACTAAAAGAACACTGGCACGAGTTATGGAAAAATTTTATTGCGTCAACTGCCGACGAGATGTAGTGGATTGGTGTAAAAAATGTGATGTATGTAACGGCAGGACAAAGGTCTACGGATTCGCTTGGGAATTACTGAAATCTATCAGCGATAAAGCAGAAGCTAGAATTGACAGGCGTGCCACGGGGACACATTTTAAGAGAGGCGACCCTGTATGGCTGTGCAATCCCAAGCTCCGAGAAGGATTTTGTCGATTTTGTCAGATATCACAACGGAACTGGGAAGGGCCCTACGCCATCCTTAAGAAAAATCAACGACCTTGATCTACCGCATTCAGCTGTCAGTGGAAAGTAAAATGAGTCCAAGGTAGTTTACATAGGAAAGTTAAAGCAATGCCGTAGTTAGCTCAATCAGGTCGCAGTAATCAAGTTATTCGGGGCGAATAATTAGAGAGGAGGGAGCAATGTTATGCAGCGTGCTGCGGTCGTCATAAGTAAAAGTATTAGCAAAAAAAGATAGAATAGTCCATAAATATCTAGAAGTGTCATTCCACGTCAAAGAAATGTCTAGACAGTTCGAGAATGTTCGAGAAGGTTAAAGCAAGCTAAATAAGCAGGGATCCTGACGTTGTATTGTTATTGTAAAAGTTGAGTTGAAATAAATTGAAATACCAAAAACCAGCGTAACAGTATGATACTTTACTATTTGCAAGAGTTATCGTGTCAGTAATAAACGCACCCTTAAAGCGCATTAGTATGGAATCGCCTCGTATATAACCGACCTCATAAAGATAAAATAAAATATACGAGGAAATAATAACGACCGATTGCGATTCATTAATTTAATTTCATCAGAGTCGGTTAAGTTGTCGTTCTGGTTTTTCTGTCAACTAAACTTAATAGGTACGCCGAGAGATAATTTAACGAAAAAGCAAGAAGATCGGCGACGAAAAGAAAACAGAAAAAAGTTTAGTTTCGCTAAAGCCGTCCATATTTTTCCAGGACCATTTACTTTAACGGCATCGTAAACATTCGCTGTTATCTGTTGACGTTTCCTATAGAAAATGGCATAAAATGACTACTGAAACTAAACCGTGGTGAACCAGGCCGATAGAGTAGCTTCTATGGCTACGGCTATGTTTACGCCATAGTATTAACAACTGTTTCCAAAAATTTGAAAATATAATTTCCTTAAATATGTAACAGTTAGTGTGTTTAGTTTTTGACATTAAATTATTTTATCGCCAACCATCAATAGAGCCAGACATTACCATACCGATTTGCTGAAGTAAACAAATATTTATCACTATAGCCATGGCCGTCTGACAGAAGTAGTATGTAACTGATTTGTTTTGTAGTCGCTGTTATTTTTCTGTTTGTTTACTTTATTATTCTAAAATGTGATATTATAATATCGCCTTTTTTATTAATTATAATTATTTACGGTTGGCTATAAAATTTTGTATGGACCACGTCAGCAAAATATCTTTATCGCACACGCCTGTTACTCGTCTCGCTCGCTGCTCTCGCTCGGCTCATAATCTCAGACTGGTTCGATAAAGAATCACTTTCCTGACTTGGTAAATTAATAACTATTACTTAATTTATTTGCACAAAATACAACACTAATTAATATCTTTTAATGATATACTAATTTATATTGGCAATATTTCTTAGAACAGAATTATATATTAAGTAAAACTGACTATTTAAGTTTTAAACAGCCAAGGATTGTTAATTTTAATATTCAACTATTTTAATTAAGGTTATTTCTTTTAAAAATAGATGTTTATAATCTAACTGAATTCAATTACTTATTATTGCAAATTGAATCACACTTAAATAAAATTTTATATTTTTATCATCTTTATATTAATAATTGATAATATAAATGGCATACCTACCATTCAAAAATGACCTTCTCCTTAGTTAACAAAATCAAAGTTTGAGTGGTTAAATTATATCTCTGCTGTTATTCTTTGGTCATAATTTAATACATTGTGACGTGTAAAGGTACTTAATTGTCACACAGCCTGGCAGCTCTTTTGTTATGGGAAAGCTTAGTTGTAGGTCAGATTAAGTACATTTGCACGTCGTATAAAAATGTCTAGCCCCACGTTGGGCGCCAAACATTTATGTAACGTCCAAGATTTAAAACAGAAGAATGGTCTTTATCAGATCCATTCGCTCCGCAGTTCAAATAATTCGAAATCTGTTAGTTACATCTAAGGTTATATTTAACCTAAATATTTTACCTAAATATTAGAAATTAACTACGTGAATGAATGGCATAGTTGTATTTGAAGAACCAGGTTGAGAAATGTGCTGCATTATAAAGGATGATTCTTAAATTAACAAGGTTCGTTTAATTGTATAAAACTATAACGGACAGGCGAACCGTTCTAGCATATTGCGAGTAGTTGTTTTCCGAAGGCATATGTCTTTGAGATTATCTATTTAATTGGAAAATATTTTTTTAAATGTTCAATGTTTAATTTTCTGTGTAAACGTCTTGTTGGTTATTAGCTCCAGAATCCTATAAAGAACTATTCGTAATTTTAATACAAACGATTATATCTATTTAAATAATCGCGATATAGCGCGCTTATCCTATCTGTAGGTACACTACAGCCGCAGCTCTACACATACTATTTTCTACTCGTCGTATAAGTTCTGTTTATGCTCCGCGGGAACGATTTTAATGAGAAATAGCAAATTTATTTGTTTATTGTGAACCGGCTGTGAATTTTAATATAAATCTGATTGCGAACAATAATAACAAATGACTGGCTAAGGTTCGGTTCGTATTTATAACTAAGAGTACAAACACATTCGTAGATACGTTAATGCGATTGTTTTGAACGTAGGTACATTAGCGCCAAGTCCGCTTTGAAAATTATTAGATATCCACTATTTAGTTCATTGTATATTTTAATATTATATAGATATATTTTTCTTTTTTACATTTACTATTGTTACTTATTAATCAGTCAATCAATCAATCACTTGGGTCCGGCCTACTTTATTTTGAAATACTTTTGCTTTACTTTTTTTAACTATTGGAGAAGAGCTCTCGAAGAAATATTATTCGAGTGTTTCTCGTGCTAAACTCTTGGGGAAAAAAATTCTCTCGAAAAAAATTTACCCGAGTTCAACTCTCGAGCCAATCTATCGTATTTAGCTATCCATTATATTTAAGTATTACATCTTCTTTTGAGTTTAGAACATTGTATGAAGAACACATGGCCTTCTAGTGAGATTTATGCAGCCCGCTATTAAACTTTTTCGTTGCATATCTATCAATATCTATCAATATCTATCAATATCTATCAATATCTATCAATATCTATCAATATCTATCAATATCTATCAATATCTATCAATATCTATCAATATCTATCAATATCTATCAATATCTATCAATATCTATCAATATCTATCAATATCTATCAATATCTATCAATATCTATCAATATCTATCAATATCTATCAATATCTATCAATATCTATCAATATCTATCAATATCTATCAATATCTATCAATATCTATCAATATCTATCAATATCTATCAATATCTATCAATATCTATCAATATCTATCAATATCTATCAATATCTATCAATATCTATCAATATCTATCAATATCTATCAATATCTATCAATATCTATCAATATCTATCAATATCTATCAATATCTATCAATATCTATCAATATCTATCAATATCTATCAATATCTATCCATATCTATCAATATCTATCAATATCTATCAATATCTATCAATATCTATCAATATCTATCAATATCTATCAATATCTATCAATATCTATCAATATCTATCAATATCTATCAATATCTATCAATATCTATCAATATCTATCAATATCTATCAATATCTATCAATATCTATCAATATCTATCAATATCTATCAATATCTATCAATATCTATCAATATCTATCAATATCTATCAATATCTATCAATATCTATCAATATCTATCAATATCTATCAATATCTATCAATATCTATCAATATCTATCAATATCTATCAATATCTATCAATATCTATCAATATCTATCAATATCTATCAATATCTATCAATATCTATCAATATCTATCAATATCTATCAATATCTATCAATATCTATCAATATCTATCAATATCTATCAATATCTATCAATATCTATCAATATCTATCAATATCTATCAATATCTATCAATATCTATCAATATCTATCAATATCTATCAATATCTATCAATATCTATCAATATCTATCAATATCTATCAATATCTATCAATATCTATCAATATCTATCAATATCTATCAATATCTATCAATATCTATCAATATCTATCAATATCTATCAATATCTATCAATATCTATCAATATCTATCAATATCTATCAATATCTATCAATATCTATCAATATCTATCAATATCTATCAATATCTATCAATATCTATCAATATCTATCAATATCTATCAATATCTATCAATATCTATCAATATCTATCAATATCTATCAATATCTATCAATATCTATCAATATCTATCAATATCTATCAATATCTATCAATATCTATCAATATCTATCAATATCTATCAATATCTATCAATATCTATCAATATCTATCAATATCTATCAATATCTATCAATATCTATCAATATCTATCAATATCTATCAATATCTATCAATATCTATCAATATCTATGTCTATCAATATCCATCAATATCTATCAAAAATTTTAATCTATTTATTAATTAGTCATATAATTTTAAAGATTATGTTTTTTTGTAAAGTTTAATGAGTTTGTCAGCTGCTCTGTAGCCACTTTCAATAGCACCTTGTACACTCGAATAATGGTTAACGCTAGTAGCCTCTCCGGCAAATTGGATAACTAGTTCTTCTTTGAAGTTCAGTATCGGTATTCCTAAGTTTCTGCGGTCTTCACGAGTTGAAACAAGTGATGGAAACGAATTCGTTCCATAAAAGTGAGGGTTTGATTTCCAATTAGATCTACAACCAAATTATTAATATTAATAATTTATTAGCATCCGCATATCACATTCAAAAATCCAAGATTAGAGCGTTGTGGTCAAATATTAGCTCATCGCCGTACAGGTTGGGTTGATTTTTAATTACAGTTTTAAACAATCTTTATCTAGTTATCTAATAAATAAAATGTACCTTATTAAAATTAGAGGTTTTGGTATATCGTAGAAATGTCCCAAAAATAAATTGAATGTATAATGAAGTCCATCTTTTAATATTAGTTCATCCATCGTTTCTAGAAGAGTTACCATCTCACCCGTAAAATAACATAATAGTATATTTGAATCTGGAATAGCAAATACATAAAAGATGTCCACAATCCAGGATTCTCCTTTCTAAAAAAAGTTGGATAAAAAAATAAGTTCACTCGAAAGTTTGTCAACACGCTAAAAAACCCTGTATTTTATTATATTATCCATTAAGTCATTGGACAATTTAGTCCATAAGATCTAATAATGATGATCTTATAGATCTTTTTAATATAAGATCTAGCCATATTACATAGACTTCACCAACCTGATTTCTAGGACCACGTTGAAATTTACTACTGGATGCAGCCCTGTCCTCATCAGTCCATATAAAATTAAATCCAGGCAAATTTCCCCACCATTTTTCATTAAAAGTAACGAACACTTTAACCACAGATCCGAATCCAATATTTTTGATCGCCTTGATTTTATTTTCATCCAATTTCGGTTCAAATAAACTTTCAACTTTTTGCTTCAGCACCCCCAATGATGAAGTAACAACGACATGTTTCGCAGTGTACATTGATTTGTCAGAACATAAAATTGTGACAGGAGCGCTGTCATCTGTATATGTTATCTTTATAACTTCTTTGTTGAGGTGTATTTTATCGTCTATGGGTAGTTGGTGAGCGGTGTCTGGATATTTTTTCATTAAGGCGTCCAGGAATGAAATGTATCCGTATTTCCAACCTGGGGAATGGCCTGCTTTGTTTTGGTAGTCGGGATCCTTGGAAGCAAGGGCGTGCCAGGAAGATGAACCGCTTGTTCTTAATAGTAAATGAGCCCAGTAATTATTCGCTTGTTGAGCGATGTGAAATTTTTCCGGTTTGGTCTTGTATAGTTCAGATATTTGTTGGTTGTATCTATAGTTTTAAAAAAAGAATACATATAATTATTTGTATAAGATAAACCAAACTCCGTAGATATTCACAAACACTTTTAATTAAAAAATAAAAATTAAAAATTACTCGTGACAATTGTTTCGAAGTACAATTTCTTCAAATGTGACTAATTTACATTTCTGTGTCTAATAAATATATATATAGAAAATAAACTAACTAGTTTAAGTACTTAAGGGCAGAGTCTCCAAAGGATTTTCCGCCGTATTATGTAGTGCCTGTTATCAAATTTTAATTCGTTTTTATGCTGTAAAAGCATAAACGAAATATAATCTCTTTTCGAGCCATCTATGGAAGCAGGGATGAACTAATTATTGATTATTTTCCGAAAGTGAGGACGCCATTTTCAGTCCAAAATTTTTTTAATAAAGGATTACACATAAAATGCAACCTAATTTTCATTTATAACTATTTCGGAGGTCTGATATTGAGAGGAAAATGTTTAACTTAGGTGGTTCAAGGTTTCATTTTCAGAAAATTTATTGAATTTGTAGTTTATTCTTACAATGAAAAAGGTCTAAAAATAGGTCATTTTCTACCAAACGTTTTTAATTAAAAACAATTATTTAAAAAAAAAAACAATGCCTGAACCACCTAAGTTGGATCTTTATCTGCAATTAAAAAAAAATAGTACGTTATACGGTATAATTACGGAAATAGTTACAATTAACTTTTGGTCTGCAGATGCCATTCTAATGCACAAGGATACTCTGTCCTTTAAAATTCCAACGAGGCATTATCATTACCGCGATTATCTTACAGAAAATTAACAGGTTAAGAGATTTAATAAAGGTGAGTTATTAATATCTAACTATTCCCTCAGTTTACGGTACTTTATTCATAAACACCCTGTATTTTTTAAGTACTCCAACTAGTTAGTTTACTTTGTATATACAGGGTGTCTCGAAGTTAGACGGTCATGTTTTAACAGCGTAATCTACATCCTAAAATAGGAGTAAAAGTTTATATAAACATAGGTCCGAAAACATTTTGTTTCCGAGATACAGGGTGTTAAAAGTGAAGTCACATTTTTGTAAATATTTTCTAGACTTTTAAAGATAACTACCTAAGTGAAATTTTGGTACAAATGCTAAACTTTTTAAGATCTATTTAATGGACTTATCGCCAGTTTTTATTATCTTCATAGGTGAGTAAATTAGAGGAGGAGCTTAGGGTTAAATTGTCCTAAGTTTTTTTGTTGACTGTTTTTAAAATTTTTGACTACAACATTTGCAAAACGAATATTTTCTTTATAATAAAGCTACTTTTATTGTATCTTGCTAGAACTCACCATTTTCAAAAGAAAAGCTTGTTATCTTATTCGAAAGTGTAAACAATAATTAGTAGGCCTTGTGGAATCAGAAATTTTACTTTTTTTAACTTTGGAAAACCGGCGACTAAAGAAATTTTAGAAAATATTTACAAAAATGTGCCATCAGGACTACACTTGTAACACCCTGTATCTAGAAAACGAAACGTTTTCAGACCTATGATTATATGAACTTTTACTATTACTTCTATTTTAGGATGTAGATTACGCTGTTAAAATATGACCGTTAAATTTCGGGACACCCTGTATATTAGACGCTGAAATGTAAATCAGTCACATTTGAAGAAGTTGTACTTCGAAACAATTTTTAATTTTTATTTTTTAAAATAAAAGTATTTGCGAAAATCTACCATGTTTGGTTTTTCTCATTTAAACAATATAGATTTTCATCAAGTAAAGGCCGAAAAAAATCAAGAATATATTATAATTATTATAACTGTTAGCCCTGATTATTGAATGATTACCTTTTTTGAAATACATCTCCTAAACTATCCGTCGACTCCTCGATACCATCATGAACCATCTTGAAAACGTTAGTCAATTCTTTAGAAAATTCATAACTTATATTCGATCTTGAGGAACTGTAAAATTGAACAGGAAAATGCTCATGTCTTAACATATTCAATAGATCCAACTCTTCTAACTTGTCGTAAACAACATTACCTTTCTGACCATCACACCATTCTGCTCCAAGATCGACTGATGTACCATTTAGAGATACTGTGTGTATTCTACCACCTATTCTACATTCTGCTTCTAATATTATTATGTTATTAAAACCATTTTCTAATAATTTTGTAGCTGTTGCTATCCCAGATGCTCCTGCACCTACGATAACTATTTTTTCATTTGAAAACACTGTGCACACATAATTTAATGCCAGTAATATTTGAAAAATATATTTAAATGCACTCATTTTCTTATTTAGGTATATAAATAATTAAAATTATACTAAATGTTGTAGTCATCAAAAAAAGTAAAAAGAAAAGTTGATGATAACCTTAATGACTTCAACATTCATAGACGTGGGTATTAATTATTGCAGAAATAAATTTTACTTAGGGTCATTTTTAAAGATATATAAATCTGTTTTTAATATGTTATTGCTTGATTAAATGTGTCATTTTAATAAATGATATATTTATTGAAAGCTTAAATGAGATCATACCATATACGATAATATTTTCTTATAGCTATGATTTATTATTATTATTAATATATTTTTATAGATATCTTTGATACAAGAGGATTACTACAATAACGATATCATTCTAAAAAACTGATTATTAAAACACTAGAGCTATCATGTGAACATTTATTCAACTCTACAGGATGTCTCACAAAATTATGATCGATTACTAGCCCTATATCCATTGAAATTTTTATTAGAAGTATTAGGTGTACTCATTAAAATTTTAGATTTATTTTAGAGCACCACCCGAAAGTAAAAAATAAATTTAATTTTTATGATTCTGATTGTCACTGTACACTACTGGAAGAATAAGTAAGTATGATTTAATATGTAGCCATACTCTTTTAAAAGGTTGTAAAATGTATTACGTCAAATCGTAAATATATATAATATAAATACGGAAAATATAACAATAATACTAGTTTATGTTACAAGTGTTGTTCATATGCCTGTATGTAATCCATGTCAATTCTTTACATACTGTGTCTATATGATATATATATTCTAACTATTGTGATTTGTCAATAAATGTTTTATTTTAACGTCACTCACAAGATTTGCTCTCCTGCATATTTAACAGGTTATGAGCCAAGCAGGCAAATAATTATAGTTAAAACGTTATTTTAAACATAATTGCTATCCATATTACCCATAAAAATGAGTAGTGCTCAATTAGTCATTGAGAAGCTGCAAGGTGTTTCCAACTGGCAGACCTGGAGTTTTGCAATGAAACATTACTTCAAGCAAGAAAAATTATGGACAGTCGTAGAAGGATCTGTGAATAATAAAGATTCTGATTGGAAAAATAAGGACGATTTGGATAAACTAGCTCTAGCAAAAATAGTTCTTATTAAACCACATCTATATTCATGTGGAATCTGCTGCCAGTTCCAAGGAAGCATGGGATATTTTGTCAGAAACACTAGGAGATCGTGAGCTTATTGGCAGGTTAAATGTGTTACGATAGTTGTTTTAGTTAAACTTAATAATTACAGAAATATGTTCGAGTTTGTAACTGATATTGCAAGCTTAACACAAAAGCTAGCGAATGTGGGCCATTCACTTGAATCCGAATTTGTTGCTGTAGTATATCTTAGTGGTTTACCTAAATATTACGACCCATTTATGGGCCTTGAATCATCTTCAAACAAATTAAATTCTGAAGACATTAAACAGACTCCTGAACCTAATGGTGTATCTGAGAGAGCGATTCGATCCACTTGCGATAAAGCAAGATGTATGTTAGACGATGCTGGACTTCAGAAACAATTTTGGGCTGAAGCCTGCAAAATACTACTATCTATCTACTTACTTAAAAAGGGAATAAACTTTTTTTTTTACATTTTTTTTTATATTTTATTTTGTGAATGAAAAACCTTTCAAGAATATTGTGTGAAAATTTGAGATGAATCGGAACAAAACTAACGAAGATACAGCGGTTTGAGTAACCGCGCCTCATACATGACTCAGCGCATCAAAACATAGCTGCCCGACCCGCGCGCGCTATTGTTACCTTGCAGCGAGGGAGGCTCCAGGGGAGGGGGCTATAGGGGCCATGGTCCCCACCGAGATGAAAATTCTTACGATTTATGAGCCTTTTATTTAAAAAACTATGCTAAAAAGAGAATGGCTAAAGGCAATGGCCCCCACCGAAAATTCGTCTCGGAGCCGCCCTTGTCTGGCAGCTATTTCGCTCACTATATGATCCCTAACATTACCTCCTATCTTTCTTTATAGAAATTTTAACACAAGTACAAACGTGTTTATATCTGTACTGTATATAATTTAGTGTAGCATTGACCTGGCATGTTCTTTTGCTTTACTAACCTACATGCAAGACATAGGAATCAGTAGTAGATCAAGCGCTTATGAATGAGAATTCGTCGTAGACAGGGACAAAAAAGATGCTTTAGACATCATGAATGATAGCAACATTTTTTATGGACCTGGCATCGATGATTCAGTGTGAGATAAGCCGATAAAACTCGCTTATGAACGTTTTATTCAAAATTTTTTAGTGTTTTTCCCACAACTCATGTTTCCAAAGCCGGTGCCCCTCATAACTTCAAAACTACTGCACCTATCCTTTTGAAATTTTGAAAACTATTTCTGTACATAATTTACGAGGTAACGCTGGAGAGTTTTTTTTTCAAATTTATTAATATTTTTTATTTTATAACAAATTAGCCTACTTTTTTCGCAAGAATCGCGATTTTTACTTCAAAGTGTTCCCAAAAAGTAAAAAATTGAAATGTAAAAAAACCCTCCCAGCGCTACCTGGAGAAAACGATTATCTAACGAGATAACTTTTATTTTTTTATTTCTGATGATTCAGCACCGAGTTAGGAGGGGCACCGCAATTCTACTTTTTTCCGAGACGCTTCCGAATAATTGCTACCATTTCCGTATTTTTTAATATTTCTACATGAAAATTTGACACAATATTCTTTGAATATTATACTTTAATGTACCATTAGTTCAAATAAACAGATTTTAACTGTGTCGTCAAAAAAAAATTCACAAAATGTGCCTTATTTTGCACGACTCAGTACACTGGACACTGGCTTTTGGTATCACACTTTATTTCAATTTAACTTTACAATAACTCAATTCAACTTTAACGATACAACTGATAACATTAACATGTAACGTCTATCATAAAACTGAAACTCTGACGTCAGGTCGTCGACTTGTATAGCTTGCTTGACCTTCTCGAACCTTCTCGAAGTGTCGTCTAGAATATTCTTGACTGGTAATGACATTTCTGGAATATTCTATCTTCTTTTACTTGTACTTTTACTTATGACGATTGCAGCACACTGTAGAGCGATGAGTAACATTCCACTTCTTTTTCTATCTGTACGTTTCCTATGATAGCCTCAGGCTACTGCAGGGTGCTGCGTAACAATATCCTCTTAAATAATAATCATGCGCTATACTGACGTTCAAGAGACTCATGATCCTATAACTGTATCTGAAGCTCGACAAGTGTCCATTCTTTACCTACTATGTCTATTTGTTATATATACTAACTATTGTGATTTGTCAATAAATGTTTTATTTTAACGTCACTCATAAGATTTGTTCTCCTGCATATTTAACAACAAGAAAGAAAAGTTGAGTTTTTTGGGCGCCTACGAGAAGCTTGCCAGATGAGACGTTGTCGAGCCTGGCATCTCGTAGGAGTGTATATGTTTCTTCAGTTATTGATTGCTTATTTTCCTTCACTTCACTAACAGTATTATTTACATTTTGTTCATCCATGTCCCTTTTTCTAACTTCTTTCACTTCAGATTGTTTCTCCTTCAATCTAACCTTCTTTCTCCCTCTTAAATCCATTTGATTTTCTCCCTTTCTATCCCTTTTATAATTTTATTCTTAAAACTTGCACTCTACTTTTTTCTACTACCGAACTTCTAATTTATAGACCTAAATCAACGATAAAAAAAAAACTAGAAAGTTTAACCCAAATTCCAAATTTTTCTATTAATTTTCCAAATTTTAATCCAGAAATTCCTCACGTTGGCTAGCGACACTTGGTATGGAAACACCCAGTATCCAAAAATAAAAAAATTGCCTAAGACTCTATAAAAAAGGGTGATTTGACTCTAAAATTTTACAATACAAAATTAAAACCGAATTAAAGATAAAAAAAGAAATTTCCAATTTTTAGATTTTTCTTCTTTCCTGGTCTCCTGTCACTGCTTTTTTAACTTTGCAATAAAAATTTATTTTTTTACCTTATTAACTTATTAAACTCCGACTATAAGAACTTTTTCAAATAAATTTATTTCAATACATTCTGTTCTTATATATTTTTATTTCTACTAACAAAATTACCTTCTGACATCTATTATAATATTCTTGAAAACCTCCTGACATTAATAAAAAAAATCGACATCCTGATTATTTACTTAAATTTTGATGACGTCACAAGATATGGTGGTGGGATATTACCCGAACCGAATGTCAGTCACAAAGCCAGAGAGCATAGCGATAGCGGGGATAATCGTAGTTGCCATATGTTGGCTGTGAAAGCACGGGTATGCCTAATACAAAATAATAAGTACTGCTATAAATCATTTTTTAGGCAAAAAATTTACCGGCTTGCCTCGTGGGCATCCCCTAGAAATTAATAAATCAACTGGAATGGTTACAAAACTATCTTATTAAAATATCAACAAATTATGATTGAAATTCGCCAAATCGTTAATTAAATATTAAAAAAAAAAACTATTTTTAAGAAACTTTAACACTTTACCTGGGAAATGATACTTTTTCGAACATTATTGTGTTTATAAGTTTTTCATATTTTAACCTAAATAATTCAACCTTAAATTTTCGTACGATACCTATTAACTATACTTTATATACGCTCCCACATAATATATAATTGCAACTTGCAACATTAGTCATTACGTAATTATGTCAATATCCAAAATGATGAAAAAACAACATTAAAATGTTTGTACTAAATTGTAAATTGAATTGTCAATACAAATGTTCTGTGGAATAAGCTATTGTTAATATTATAAGATTTTTTTAAAGTTATAAAAAATATCAAACACCTCTCGTATAAACATATATAAACTTATGGGCAAAAAAAGATATTTTATAGGAAAAGGATGCATTTAAATCAGATATAGATACGACATTAAACTTGATTTATGAATACAACTAATGCGCAGAGTGGAAAAAAATTGATATATCATGAGATACCGACTTTCTATCAAACTGTAAAACCGTTTACCTTTTTTCTTGAATTAATTTATGAAAGGTTTAGCTGAAGATTAAATAATTTTCTATACTTCTTCAACTAGGGACTGTATATAGTTATTTATTACTTGCCTCGG